AGTCCGAGGTCCTCTCGCGCGTGAGAAATGTGGTAAAAAATAGCTATCGAGTCGGGAAAGCCACTAACAGACTCAGGAAGACCTGACAAATCGAATGATATGCGACATGACCTCCTTCGACCAATTTCGTGACCTGGGGGCGCTGACCTGACCGTGACCCGAGGTCAACACCTAAAGTTGACATCACCCAAACAAAAAGTAGGGGAAGCGGGGGTAACACCGCCCCCCTAAGCTTTTCGCCAAAATGAGAGAATATGTGTGTAGTCTCTTGGTAGTTATTGTCTTGGTTACAATATTTAAACATTTTCTCAGTGGCGGCGGAATAGGGGGTGCAGGGGGTGCAGCTGCACCCCCATCGAAGAACATGGGAGTGACCCCCAAAATCCGTACAAGGGGCCCGTCGCACCATCCAATACATTTTCTCCTGAAAACCAGTGATCGGGAAACGAACACTGATGTGGAATCATCCGGGATGTCCAATTATGGTCAGGAGCGTCCCATGCTAGTCTTTGGTACCCCATACCGGCCCAGAAGTGTCCCGAGCCGCGTTTGGTGCTCCACGCGGCATATGAGGGCCCCCATGACGGCCTCAGAGAGCCCTTTTATGACGATCTCTGAGGGCTCCCACGACGACCTCTGTCCCCTGGGGCCCTACAACGGCCACTTAGGGCCCTCATGACGACCGCTGAGGGTCCCACAGAGATTCCAGGGCCCCAAGGAGACTCCGGGGGCTACGCTGGCCTCTGAGGGCCCCTATATGACGGCCTCTGAGGGCCCTTACGATGATCTCTGAGGGCTCTCACGACGACCTCTGTCCCCTGGGGCCCTATAACGACCACTAAGGGCCCTCATGACGACCGCTGAGGGTCCCACAGGACTCCAGGGTCCCACTGGCCTCTGAGGGCCTCTACGACGGTATCTGAGGGCCCTCGTGACGGCCCTAGACCCAACCCAAGTCTGAGGGCCCATTTGGCTTCAGACGGCTCAGCGACGGCCCCTGAGGGCCCCAACACAGCCAGACTGCAGGGGCTATGCTGGCATCTGAGGGCCCTACAACGGTCTATTGAGGGCCCTAACAACGATGGCCTCTAGCGGTCTTACCAAGGCCTCTGAGAGCCCTGCAAAGGTATCTGAGGGCCCATGAAGACCCTCACTATGGTCAAGGACCCTCATAACGACCTCTGATGATCCTCTCGAAGGCTTCACAACAACTTCTGAGGACCCCAGGACGGTCCCTGAGGGGCTGAGGGCCCTGTCGACGACCTCTCTGGGCCCTCACGATGGTCTCTAAGACCCAAAGCAAGCTCCAAAGGCCCACGCTGACGTCTGAGGGCCCCACGACGGCCTCTGAGGGCCTCGACGCAGGCAGGCTCCAGGGCCATGCTGACCTCTGAGGGCCCTCTTGACGGCTTCTAGGGCCTAACGAAGGCTTCAAGGGCCAACGCTGGCCTCTGAAGAACCCTACGACGGCCTCAGAGGGTCTCAACTCAACGCGTGCCAGGAGACATGCTGGCCTCTGAGGGCCCCACAGAGTAGAGATTCAGAGGATCCAACGACCTGTGTGGACCTTACGAAATACGAAGGTCTCCGAGAGCTCACGCAGGCTCCTGGAATTCCACACTGATTCTCAGGCCCCATGTCGGCTTGTTGATGCACTTTATCTGCTCTTGGTGCCCCGTCGCCGGCCTCTGAGAGTCTCAATGTCGGAACTTATAGGGCCATGGGCCCACACCGGCTTTTATGGCCCCTACATCGACTCTTGGGACTCATGACCCATGAAATGTGGGACTAAGCGGCTTCTAAGAATCCCCATGCTGGTTCTAGTAGCCGCCAGCCGAATATTTGGGCTCACACGCGAGCTCCTGGGACCCCGTGCATACCCCAGGTGTCTACCTGCCTCTCAGACCCCACACATACTTTTGGGGCTCAAACGCTTGCCCCAGAAGGCCCCACTGAGACCCCTTTCTTCTACTCAGTCCTCCATACCGGCTCTTTAGACTAAACATCGGCTCCTGTGGCCTCCATCCCGGCTTTGGAGGGCCTCCATACAGGCTTTTTTGGAGTCCGATGCCGGTTTCTGAGAGCCCTCAAAAGACTTATGAGCCTATACTGCCTTCTGAAACCTTTCAGCAACTTTCAAGGGACCGACCCTGATCGGAGGGCTCATTCAGTCTGGGGAGTCATGTAGGTGTCTGGAGGAGTCTCTATGTGGTTGGTTTCCAAGGGGCTTCTAAACACGGTCTTCTTGGGACGGTCTCGTAGGGCACTCAATGGTCCACTGCGGATCCAGAAAAGTAGTTTGAGTCGAGACGCTGCGGGTGGTGGCTAGACTAAAAGATTAATCGATAAACAACTAGCTGCATTTGCTTCTTTATGCTTTCATTACTTGAGATAGGTAGATACACTGCAATTTCAAACCTTTTACACAACTTGTGTGTATGGGGATAGTTTTCCAAAATCAGCATTTTTCATGAATCAATAATAATCACTAAAAAAACTGGAGGGGGGCCCAAAACTTCCAGAGGGACCCCTTACGGAAACTTTGCACCCCCATCCAAAATTACCTTCCGCCGCCACTGCATTTTCTCACGTGTTTTAGGTACTAATTTTGCATGCTCCTAAAAGGTTTTCATGTATCACGACTTTTAAAAATACCTTGCATATTTGCCACCTACAAATTGTGTGGGTAACCCCGCCACCGGTGTTGATGTTAACCCAACCCATCCCTACGAAAGCTTTTCATTGTTCAGAGATCGCGTGCGATGAGTTTCCTGTCGGTAAGTGGTAATTTTCGCAAATAATCGGTAATGGACACAAATAGGTATAGGTTCATCAGCTGTTTGCCAGTTTTATACAGCTGGCAAGTGCTTGGTCGGGATGCATGAAAAATATAAAGTAAAAAAATCAAATAAGCTGCTTATTCCCGACTTAGGAACATCTACGAACATAAATAAAGCATGTCTTTGGAGTTTCATCACTTACCTATCACGCTGCGAACAGGAAACACCGCAACCTCAATTGGGGGAACACCGCCACGGGGTGGCGGTGTTCCCCAATAAGTGATCACAAGCAAAAATCGCCAGCGGCAAGAATGTACTACACGGTTCAAGCAAACCTATCTTACTGGACAAAGCCGAACAGTTATTTTTCGACGTAACCAAGTAAATCAAAATGAGTCTCTACTTCAAGACATTAAAAAGTGCTCCCAACTCATTGAATTTTTATAAGAGAATGTGCATTTTTCTTTAAATGCCCACATTGAGCTTCGATTACACTGAAACACCGGAACACAAATCATAAGACCCTTACCTTCGTGCGGTTAATAGGAAATAACGGATTTTCACACTTTATAGTTCATACTTTCGCCGCCAGATGGGGTGGCGGTGTTTCCCACAGTGGCGGTGTTCCCCCCGCTTCCCCTATATCATTCGACGCGCCTGAGAGAGGCGAGCACGATGCTGGCAAAATCACGGCTCTGCGGCCGTTTTTTTTTTTTGCGAAGTTATTTACCAAAAACGGAACCGTACCTTGAGGCACTTGACCTGACCTCAGAGGTCACCGGTTGGACTAGGACCTTAAAATCGGGTATCGATCTCTGCGTCTCGTACCGGCGCACACGCTCGTTTTTTCCGCGACGCGCTAGCTCCACCTGGGGCGAAACAGCGAGGGGGTCGTACCTGCCCCCCGCCCCCTCGGCCGGCGCGTATGTAAAAAACCTATAGGTCCGCGCCGTCGAGGGTTAAACTGGCCTCTGAGGGCCCAGACCGGCCTCTAAAAGTCCCCCACCGGCCTCTGATAGTCAATCAGCACAGTTGCAGTGGTCGCTGATATAAAACCTCTTAAAAACGTTATAGGCCTGGCTGAGCCGTTCATGCTGATTTTTATGGGTATATTGAAAAGATTCGCTTTGCACGTTTCGCGCTTGCTCGTAATGAAAAAGTTGCTGGATGCCTCTGGAATTTGCATGGGTGCCAACGGCTGCGGAGGACAGGGGAACGCGCCCATCAGTTTGAGTTTATGGACGGGAGTCTCCCTGAAATTTTAACCAATTTTGTTTTTGTTTTTGTCTCGATTTTTTTTTTTTACCTCTGAGCATGTTTGCGAAAACAAAGCGGCCGAAATCCGAGGAGAAATTGGATTTTGGGGGTAGGTTAGGTTTTGGATCTCTGGGACCTTGGCCCTCCCCCCACTTTCGAAAACGTTCCTACGCCTATGCTAGACTTAACAAAGACCACCATTAGACTCCCCGTGACAAGCTGCATCGAATAAATACCCATTTTATGCAAATCTAACAACTTTGAAATTTGACCTTTTTTGACCTGACCTCCACCAGTAAGTGACCTAAACCGTACCTGATGGTCTTATAACCAACACCATTGAGTTGGAAATGAAAAATTGGCCATAAAACATGCATCGCACAACCTTAGTAAAGTTGGGTTCATGTGGTGACCCTTGGTGACCTTTGGTGACCTGACCTGGTATGACCAGTGACCTCTAATAGCAACACATGTACTAGACAACTGACGCTCTATCGCTGATTTTCCACAAAATGCGTTTTACTCGGTGTTATAGCGCTTTCCCTGGAAGCCCCGTGAACGGTGAAACATTTTATCCTTGACCTGACCTGTGACGTCATCGGTGACCCTGAGGTCAATGAAATTTGGTTTCCTTCGACAAATTTGACAGGGTTATCGAACGCCGTTTGAATTTTCCGGATCCGTCCAGTAGTTTCGGAGATACGGGGGGAAGGGGCAAAAAAATGCCCCCCCCCCCACCGCGCGGAAGGTGGCCGGGAGGCCCACCGCCTGCCGGGTTAACATCAGAGGCGCTGTCGTGCTCTCACAAAAAGACGGAAGATAATGTGACCTAATAAAATCCATCAGTGAACCACTGTGTCGGTTCACGACACGGACTTCATGCGATCTAACTATGCAACTATGGAAACACCAGCGCCATAACCAGCAATGACAAACTCCTAGAAAGACGTGGCACAGGCCAGGCGCGTTCCAAAAATATATTAGCATCGTTTCGGGACGGTTGCAGCACATGAAATCAGACGTCATCTCCGGGTTAGCCTAGCAGCCGCGTGTGGTTCCAGCAGTCTGTTCAAAGTTCACTGAATGCTCCCGAAAAGGTCGGGGTGACGAAACTACAGTCACCCCAGTGCACACCGACCACCCTAATAAGCAGTTGATCTTAGCGTCCGGTAGGGCAGAACCAGCGAATCAATTTCTCAAGCACTCTGAGCACCTTTTGCACCACATTGAAATATCAGCACTTAACATATGCACAAGAGTCATGAACATGATATATTCACACCAATGACGATGCAAAGAATTGAACGATTAACGTCAATGTCACAGATATCGTAAAACGCTCTCGACTTACAACTTGGACACAAGAGACGTGAAAATTTAGATTAATTCCTGTTAATCAAATCACTATGGCCGGCAAGATCTGTGAAAATGAACACTTAAAACAGGGCATGAAGCAAAGCTACAATAAGAATCAAAACTGCGCATGATTTTCAATCAGCAACTTCAGATATTAGTCGTTGCAGCCTACCACAAATGAAGACTGATGAATAATTTGACAGACCAGTGCAACAGGCCAGCATGACAGTATGACAGGCCAGCACCGTCTCATTGATTTAAGCTTCCATATTAAATATGAAATATACCAAATACTAAATAGAAAACCTAAATGTTGGTGTAAACCAAGCAATTTAAAGCCTACAGGACTCACGCACGTCTCTTTGCTCAGCTAGCCCCAGTTGAGAGAGAGAAGTTAGCCTTCCACACAGCCTTTGGAGGGTAATCCACAGTATCCAACAGTTCTGATGATGATAATGAAGGCGACGATGGCGAGAGTACACAGTGGGTCCATGACACTCACTCACTCTGGATAACACAGTGCCAGTTTAGTTCGCCACACAGCCGGACTCGTCCCCGACATGGGCCTGGCCAGCAGGTGACCCACTAGTCACCAGCGGCCGCGCCGCTGCGGCGGCCGCTCGTCGGGCCGGTGCCGCCAGCCGTCGTCGTCCCGCGGCTGCGGTCGCCGCCGCTCCGACCGGCCGGCGGCGTCCGACCACGCCCGCTGCGCCGAGCCGCCGCCGCCGTACGAGTCCTCGTACACCACCCGCTCGCGGTCGTCGTGGTAGCCGTGGCGGCCGGCGTGCCGGTCGGGCTGCTCGCCGCCGTGCCGGCTCCTCTCGCCGAATCTGTCCCCGCCTCTGTCTCCGTACCTGTCCCCGCTCCTGCTCCTGTCTCCGTACCTGTCTCCGTACCTGTCCCCGCCTCTGTCTCCGTATCTGTCTGCGCCGTAGCGGTCTCCGGCTCTGTCGCTGTACCGGTCGCCGCGTCTGCCGCCCGGCCGCTCGCCGTCGTCGCCGGGCCGATACCTTTCCGGCCTGCGGCCCTGGTGGTGATCCGCGCTCCTGTGGTCGCCGCCGCGACTGCCAGCGCCGCCCGCGCCAGAACGCTGCTCAGCCGAGCCGTTAGAGGACGCCGCTAACTTCGCCTTCGCCTGCCAAGCGGAAATCCGTTATCAACAATATGGTGGGTGAGCGTAAAACACACTGTCGGTACCTCACGAATACAGGTTCAACAACTTATGTGGATCAACTTTAAAAGCTGTAACAAATAATCTTAAAGTAAACCAATATGTCATGCATATCCTAATGTTTCGAGGAAAAACTACATCCAACAGGACCACCAATGTTAATGAGGCACAACGGCACAACACGGTGGCAACAAGAGCAGTGTTAACCCTCGCCCCGTTGGTTTTTTTTTTGGGGGGGGGGGGTGGCAATGTGCTCCCCGTGGGTTTTCCTGAATAGCAAGAAAACGGCGGCGCGCAGCGGCCAAATTTTCAGTACCTTCCCGGGCATCAATTTAACACATTCACACCAAATTTCAATTCTTAGGTCACCTTAGGTCAGGAGTTATTGACGTCAAACTCAAGGTCATGTGCGAGCAAAAAATGAGCAAAAAAACATGAAATCAAACGCTTATAAAAGCTACAGTTAACAAGCAATTTCAAAGTTCTTTATGTGGTCATGTAGAGAAAAGACGGCGCTACAAAACTGGGCCTCGTTTCATAAAAGGAATTACTTACGGCGTTCCGTCAATTATGCCAGATTTGGCGTATTTGATGCCAATTCGGTTTCATAAAGCCGGAGACCGGAGTCGGGAGTAATTCACGCCATCGAAAGTACGGAGCTTCATTTACGGCAAATGCTCGACTCCGGACCAATTGATGCCATTTGGGTTTCATAAAACGTCGTAATTAACTCCAAATATTTTATCAAGCTCTTGATATCAGTGGTGTAAGCTACGCTCAAAAATGTTGCGTGATTTTGAATTAATGTGAAGATTCGAAGCTAATTTTTAATATATTTTATAATGTTGAGACCGGTGAGGAAGAAAGAACAGCCAAAATGAGAAAAAGAAACTGCAAATCTTCTGTACCAGTCGCTTTTTGTGGCCACTATCGGAATTTTGTTTATTCGCCGCGCCGCGCCACTTTCGTAGTTAGGCACTTCTGCTTAGCTGGCTTTCTGCTGTTTTTAACCCGCGCCCCACTGGGGTCTGTGTATAACACGCCCTACTGGGGGGGGGGGGGGCTATTCATAGCCCCCCCTCTTAACTCCGAAACTACTAGGCCGATCGTCAAAATTCAAACGGCGTCTGATAGCCCCGGAAAAACTGTCGAGCGAAACCTAATTTCATTGACCTCGAGGTCACCGATGACGTCACAGGTCAGGTCAAAGTAAAAATTATTAGCATTTTGGCTTGTTCACATTTTGGGCTCTGGCCGCCGTCTTACAAGTCAGATCAGGCTCATTTGTGGTACACACACTCTTAAACAGATGCTCTAGATACCCTGAGGGTACCAAGCTTTTACTTTGATTTCCAGGTCAAGGTCAGGTCATCACAGGTCACGAAAATATTTTATCATGCGTCGGTCACGTGACACATGTTTTATGGTCCATTTAGGCCATAGATTTCGAATTTGATGTCGTCTGTGTCATTCGAGGTCATTTTGAGTCGAATTTAGCTTAGGTCAGGTCACTTTCAGGTCAAAAAAGGTCAAATTTTGAAGTTAAAATTTTTCAACAAAAAAGGTGTCTATTGGATGCGGTTTGAGCTCAGGAACACGATGGTGCCATTTATATTGGTGTACGATGTCAAATACGTACTGAAAAATTGATTTGAAAAATTAATAATTGTGAATTTTTTGCAATAATGCGTATAACTTGGCCATTTTTGAAGATATTTAGCTAAAACTTGCTAGAGTTAGTCATAATCAAGCGTTCTGTCACATATATTCCGGTTTTTTTTCGAAAAGTCAAAAACTTTTTGAAAAAAATATAAAAATACATATTTTGAATATTATTATATTAAACTTTCGAAATTTATAAAAAAAATTTTGAAAATTCGAGATAGCAGTTTGATAGCGCGGTCAATTCTGAGTCCTTTCATGCAAAGAAATTGGATCTAGCTTAAAAACTGAGCTCTTGGGAGCGATTGCCTTGGTTCAATGTTTTGCGTCGAAATCGGCCGAACATGACGTCACTCTGACGCCATTTCCGGCCGACCTATGGTAGCTACGAAGTTCAAATTTTGACACAAGGTGTCAAATTGATGCAGCCAAAGGTACTGTATGTTCGGCGTCGATCCGTCCAGCGGTTTGGAAGTTATTGCAGAAAAACTCGAGGGGGGCTATAAATAGCCCCCCCCCCAGTGGGGCGCGGGTTAATATATTGTTTTAATAAAGGATGGTCATCAATATCAATTTTGTTTTTTTCATACATAATTTTTAAGATTTAAATTCAACATAATTGTTTTATAAATTCTCGTAAAAAAATAAGTGTTGACATGAAATTGTAATTTGTAGGACGCTTGATAAATTACGGTAACTACGCAAATGTGCTTAGTTACGGAGGTGTAAACAATTCCAGTTGTGGCTTTGTGAAACGGATTTATTTGCGCTCCGTAGTTTGAAAGGGTGTGAATTACGGAAAGGTGTAAGTTACGGCAGAGTTTTATGAAACGAGGCCCTGTCACGGATTTCCAAAATTTTGGGATTTTTTTGCGTTTTTCTAAAAAAATCATTTTTTTAATTCTTGGGGGTTAAAATCCCAAAACTTTGAAAATCCGAGATAGCAGTTTTGCAGCAACTCCTTTTGCGTACATGACCATATAAAGATCTTTGATATTGCTCGGTAACTGTAGCTTTTGTAAGCGTTTCAAAATTTCATGTTTTTTGCTCATTTTTGCTCGAACATGACCTCAGTTTGACCTCAATAACTCCTGACCTAAGGTGACCTAAGACTTGAAATTTTGTGTGTAGGTGTCAGATTGATGCCCGGGTTCTCTTGCTATTCAGGAACCACAGGGGGGTCTAAATTGGCCCCCCAGCGGGGCGAGGGTTAACGTTCATCAGCCAATGAGCACGGTTTCCGTTAGTGTGTGGCCACCGAGCACTGACGGTTCCACTGGCCCTACCTGAGCGCCCTGAGCCTGCAGCCGCAGCGCGCGGCCGTACAGCGCCGTGCCCTGGAACAGCTCCACGGCGTACGGCACCGACTCCTCGTGCTCGTAGGTGATGAAGGCGAACGGGCGCGGCTGCTGCTGCTGGTGGTCCCGGGGCCGGGACACCCGCGCCAGGGGGCCCGCCTGCGGCACACCGAGGCGACGGTGGCGTGCATATCACAGTGGGGCCAGACTCATGTTACTGGCAGCCACAGACGAAGTGTAATGGTTCAAGACCCCTGCATGTATCTCGAGAGTCATACAACTAGATATCAGACATGTGCATGGATCCGAGAAAATGGATCTGGGATCTGATCCCACGGATCCTGATCTCGGATCCGACGAGATCATAGATCCAGCTCTGTAATTTATCGAGAGATCCGTAGGGATCACAGATCCGAGTCTCATTTTTTGTTTGAGATCCAGTGAGATTATAGATCCTCGCTTATTTTTTGTGAACAAATATATCCCCAAAAAACGCTTGTTTCAACTCACAAACATACTGTTTTAGTGATTTTATGTGATCGCGCGTCATAATCCATAGTTTTGTGGCATTTATTGCCATAGAAACCCTATAAAATATGGTTTCAAATGTGGTGCATGGTGGGATCCACTCAGATCATAGATCCATGTTCTTAATTTATCGTCAGATCATATGAGATCATAGATCCAAGATGTACTTTTTCACGCCGGATCTGGTGGGATCATAGATCCCAACCTGTACTTTGCTTCGATATCCACTGAGATCATAGATCCATCACTCGGATCCATGCACATGTCTGCTAGATATGCAGGGTGAAAGAAGATGAGCTGGCCTCTGAGATAGTTCCTAAACCTGTTTACAAAAATATAATTGGTTTAGTTTATTTTTTATCAGCACTGACACAGTTCAGTGCTCTTCTGATATGAATAGAAACTTAACACTTTAACACAGGCATTGCATTGAATTTCAAACAAACATCATTAACTGTGAAAATAATGCATACACCTAATTGATATACTGTATCGCTGCCTAACTATGAGCTTCACAGCATACACATTACACCCTGCAAGAAATCACACACTCACCTGAAGAAACAATTCGTAGAGGATCTCATCTGAGACATCTGCGGACAGATTTCCACACCACAATGTTCTCTCTACATCAGACATGAGAAAACTCTCATTGGTCTTGGGCAGTCTGAAAACTAAAAGGTGGAAACATAAATTATAAATATCAAACAATGATGGCAGCATACCCTCTCTTATTTTCATCATTTGCATTTTGCAACCACTTTGGATATAACCAGTATAGCGCCTTTTGGGGCGACTAACGGAGCGAGCGAGGGGTGAGTCTTGCACGTGCGAAATTTCGAGCGGGTACCTCCAACTGACTTGTGCACGGCACCCTACTGACCGGTTTCTAGCGATGTGCCAAATTTGAGCACAATCGGCCCAGCCGTTCTCGAGATCTGGAAGCGGCACCCTGCACGTGCGCACGTGCAAAATGGGTCCCAACTGACTTGTGCACGGCACCCTACTAACCGGTCCCTATCTGTCTACCAAATTTGAGCGCAATCGGTCGAGCCGTTCTCGAGATCTGGAAACGACCCCTGCACGTGCGCACGTGCAGCAGCACCCCAACTCTGGCACAAGGATGTGCAGTGCCTAGTGGGTGCCTACCTACATGCCAACTTTCAGCGCAATCGGCCAAGTAGTTACCGAGATATTGCAACAATTACAAAACTGACACCTCTTTGTTTTGCACGTGGCACGTGCATAAGGGGTCACCCACATGCATCGGGAATAGTCCAATACTTGGTAGAAGGAATGAAGCTACCCTACAAAATTTACCGCATGTAAATCGGTCAAGTGGTTGCTGAGATATAAGCCTCGCAAAAGCGTCCGCACGGCCGGCCGGCCGGCCGGCCGCTCATACTCAGAAATTTCCGTTAAAGGTAGTGTGCCACCTTTGAAAGATTTCCCATTTTATTTTTCCTAGGATAAGAAGCTTCTGTTTTTACCTAATATCGCAAAAAAATAAAAAATGGGCCTGGAATAGTGCCTTTTTCGCCTAAAAGTTTATCGGTTTTTAGATATGTATAACAACTGTAGTGGGCTCACCTGCAAACAGGCGTCGGGCAACAATCGCGAATGCGGCGCACTTGTGACAATAAGCAAAGGTCATTATAGTGTTACGACCATACGACGTACGGGAATGAGTTATCAGCTGTCTAATCGTAGACAACACAATGTCGAGCCTTAAACTGTAAGCCCGTATTGTATTGTTTCTTTTATTTGGCTGTCGAACATTATTTATGGTTTGAAATATGATTTTATGTAAAATAATTGATATGAAAAAGCCGTCTTATAAGTTATGACCCCATTTCACCACACGCAAGTGGCAGAAATGACAATGATTAGCTGACGCATTTTTCTTGGCCGAAGTCAGAGCGCGCGGCCCGACGCACCACGCGTATTTGGAAATTCCGACCTCGACGAGCATCAGAAGCCACCTAACAGGCGTGTTCGAAACCGCAGGAGATGATGATGAACGGGTTTATCGAAACTTGATTGGATGAGCATATCGGTAATAGCGATTTCAGTGTGTGCATTTATTGTTCATAGTGGTGTGAAATGTGGTTGGGGTACGACCGACAACCCGTCGGGGCGAATTTCGCACTGGGGTACTCAAAATTTGAAGAATTTAAGACGTTTCCATGAGTTTTGAAGGTATGGATAAGTTCTAAAAATCCGGTTCTCCTTATCTGGGCCATTAACTCCATACGGTCCAACAAAGCTGGCACACTACCTTTAATCTAAGGAAAGACTACGCTCGCTTCGCTCGCTCCGTAATTACACTATGATTGCTAGGTACTGTACAGGTGTGCACCTGAACTAACTACTGATATACAAAACTATAAAGAATGAAAATGTGGCCCTTAAACAATGCCTACAAATACTTTGAAAAAAAACATACACAATTGCATGACACTGAAATCTGCAACATGAAATACATTCCAATTCAGCAAATTTATATATATATATATATATATATATATATATATATATATATATATATATATATATATATATATATATATATATATATATATATATATATATATATATATATATAAGCATTCTAGGCATATAGTTTAGAAAGACTATCTTCTAAGTTCTAATTTAGCATGGCTTTGATTGCTTAAGCAGCTCAAGCCATATGAATAAAGTATTTAGATCAATTTTCTTAAAATTAAAACTATTCATTTCAACCCACTGAAGGAAACTTCAAATATTGAAATGAGCTTTTATTACAATTATGGTGATATTACCACATCCGACTGATATACTTATGTAGACCAGCCTCAGGTCTGCCAAGTAGGTATGGCATTGGCAATTTGGACAAGATCTCATTGATGTGGGCTTATTGGGATGGTGCATATTAGGCTTGGAGTGGTGCAGATTTAGTGTAAAGCAGTGCAGATTTGGCTTGGTGACAGACATGACAGAGCAAACAAGAGATGAGGAAATCTAAAAACATTGCTGGAGCTTTGATGTGTGATTCAGTGTGCACTTGGGTCTAAATGAGTGTTTGGTGGTCAGAACAGACCAGCCAGTGCTGGTGGTCCCATCAATCACATGGGTTGTCCCCTGCTGTAACCCAGGCAGAGGCTAGCCCAATTCACTGGCATGCAGGCTTTAAGATCAGTGTGGATTTAGGCTGGCCATTTTTTATTCTGGTGCAATTTGTTACACTCAGCCCCTTCAGTGAGGATTTTCCAACCCTGTTTGAGAGATTGATGCAGATTTTGAACCTGGGTCAGTGCACCTTCTCAGCCTACTGGCCAATGGCCATACTTTGCAGTATGGTAGGCACCTATGTAGACTGAAATTGACATGCAGCAAATGACAAGTGACAACATCACGGCATGCCAAATTTATTTTTGTTGACTGGTATATTGATCAAAGGGTTTCCACTACAGTTAATAAATGCCATAATATCAATGAAGACCTTAGCAGCAATCCATCATTAGACATCATAGGTACCCACCCCAACCCAACACTGATAAAGGAATAGCAAAGGCCAAGTTTAGGAGTAGGTACCTTATCAACACATTCAGGGCAGAGCTGCACCACAGACTCTGCAACCAGCAAACAAATCTGACAGCTCATGGGCGGTGTTTCACGGCAGAGCGCTATGCACGTCAGTGCGTTGGGTTTCCATGGCAATATCAACAAACTCCACTCTGACGCTATACTATAACGTCATTGTAAAACGCTATCACCCCAGCGCCAGCACCATTGGCACGCTAGCAGCATTCACACTCAAACTTCTGTTCTCTCTGTACTTGGTTCCTTAGGACCTCTGTTCCAAACGCGATTCATCATAAGCTAACGGAACGCATGCAACGTCATTTGAGTAACGTCAGGGGCAGGGCTGCGGAGTCGATGGATTTACGGCGACTCCGACTCCGACTCCGACTCCGGCTTTCAAAAACCAACTCCGACTCCGACTCCGACTCCGGGCAGAAATGTCGACTCCGATCGACTCCAACTCCCGACTCCGACTCCGCACACCTGGCAGGGCTGCGGAGTCGACAAATTTTCGGTGACTCCGACTCCGACTCCGGCTGAGGTTTCCAATATCGGCTCCGACTCCGACTCCGACTCCGGTCACAACTGTCGACTCCGACCGACTCCGACTCCGACTCCGACTCCGCAGCCCTGGTCAGGGGTGTGCCTCAGCTCCCACTTCCCAGCGCGCTGCAGCGTGTGCAGCGTCGGGCGGTGAAACAGGGCCCAGAAGTCCAAACAATTTGATTGTGGGATGATTATTAGACATTGCTTTTTTAATAATGCAAGCAAGGAACACAAGCATGCGAAAAGCCAGCTTGGGCACAAATTCAACTATTGTCGAGTTCAGTGATCACTGATTGTACCTCAATTCATGGCCATTGATTACTTACTTTACTTGCTAGCTAATAGTTAACCATGTCATGCCTTAACCATGTCATAGCCTTATTTAATGCTTATTTCTATAACATTTTTTCGCATCAATTGACTGCACCAATGCCTATTTATGTTTCGCACCACATTTGTCAGAATCGCGCAGTTAATGAGCCACGAATTCCGGTATTGTTATAGCAGGCGTCTCACATGCTGCCACCGGTTTGGGAAAAGTCGCTAGATTCGTCAGGTCTAGAGATATTTCTACCAAGTCGCTACATAGGGTAATCACAAAGCGGTGATTTCAAAAACGGAGTCAGTTTTTTTTTTCTGAGCTGGCGGGGGGGGGGGCGTTTGGGGGGATTGCCCCCTTGCCGATAGCTCGGGAACGGCTGATCGGAGCCAGGCTTGCAAGGCGGCGTTGGAAAGCGGTCGAGTAGACAAGCCTAATTAGTAATGCAAACTATCATCGGGATACTGGGGGGCGTAGGGGGGGATTGCCCCCTTGCCGATAGCTCGGGAACGGCTGATCGGAGCCAGGCTTGCAAGGCGGCGTTGGAAAGCGGTCGAGTAGACAAGCCTAATTAGTAATGCAAACTATCATCGGGATACGGCGGGGGGGGGCGTAGGGGGGGATTGCCCCCTTGCCGATAGCTCGGGAACGGCTGATCGGAGCCAAGAGCCAAGAGACCGCTTTCCAACGCCGCCTTGCAAGCCTGGCTCCGATCAGGGATCGGTCAAGGGGCAATTAAGCACCCCCGTATCCGATGATAATTTGCATTACTAATTAGGCTTGTCTACTCGAACGATTTCCAACGCTGCCTTGCAAGCCTGGCTCCGATCAGCCGTTCCCGAGCTATCGGCAAGGGGAGCAATCCCCCCTACGCCCCCCCCCAGTATCCCGATGATAGTTTGCATTACTAATTAGGCTTGTCTACTCGACCGCTTTCCAACGCCGCCTTGCAAGCCTGCCGCCTGGCTCAGATCAGCCGTTCCCGAGCTATCGGCAAGGGTGCAATCCCCCTAAACGCACCCCCCTTCCCCTAGTATCCCGATGAGAGTGACTTGTCTACTCGAACGCTTTCCAATGCCGCCTTGCAAGCCTGGCTCCGATCAGCCGTTCCCGAGCTATCGGTCAGGGGGGCAATCCCCCCAAACGCACCCCCCCCCCCTAGTATCCCGATGATAGTGACTTGTCTACTCGAACGCTTTCCAACGCCGCCTTGCAAGCCTGGCCCCGATCAGCCGTTCCCGAGCTATTGGTCAAGGGCAACACCCCCCCCCCACACACACGCCCCCCCCCAGTATCGCGATGATAGTATGCATTACTAATTAAGTAATTAGGCTTGTCTACTCGAACGCTTTCCAACGCCGCCTTGCAAGCCTGGCTCCGATCAGCCGTTCCCGAGCTATCGGCAAGGGGGGCAATCCCCCCTACGCCCCCCCCCCCCAGTATCCCGATGATAGTTTGCATTACTAATTAGGCTTGTCTACTCGACCGCTTTCCAACGCCGCCTTGCAAGCCTGGCTCAGATCAGCCGTTCCCGAGCTATCGGCAAGGGGGGCAATCCCCCCCAAACGCCCCCCCCCCCGCCAGCTCAGAAAAAAAAACTGACTCCGTTTTTGAAATCACCGCTATGTGATTATACCCTATATAGCGACTTGGTAGAAATATCTCTAGACCTGACGAATCTAGCGACTTTTCCCATACCGGTGGCAGCATGTGAGACGCCTGCTATCATAATACCCGAATTCCTAGCTCGTAGTTCACGTTTTTTATTTCACTGACGAATCCACAGGGGAGCAATGCCGCTTCAACCCTATTGGCCGTAGTGTCTAACGGTGGCGGCCATATTGCGCAGACCAGAAACCGGCTGCCGCCTGTGTTGAGGAATAGGGAATTCGGGACCTCGATTTACGTTTGCGGCCGCCGTATCCGTTACGTTCAAGTTACGTAGATACGGAACCCGGCGTCTTACGCAGAATTGAGTGGGGAACACGATCGTATCTTCAGAATTCCTCAAATTCACTCGCCTGACCTACATTTGCCCCGGCCGAGGGGGTTGATTGAACCCACCTCGCTAATGCACCGCTAATTAAACTAGAATTAAGCGGTAAAGTGGTCGTATGCGGCAAAGTATAATGCAGAGTGACTGGTAGGAACCCGCTGTAAGGGTCTCAGGTCAACCGGTGACCTCTGAGGTCAGGTCAAGTGATCTAAGGCACGGGTTCGGTTTTTGGTAAATAACTTCGCCAAAAATGGCCGTAGAGCCGCGATTTTGGCATCATCGTGTTCAGCTAGCTCAGGCGCATCGAGTGATATACTTTTTGTTCGGGTCAGGTCAACTTAGGGTGTTGACCTCAGGTCAAGGTCAGGTCAGCACCCCCAGGTCACGAAGCTGGTCGAAAGAGGTCATGTCGCATATCATTCGATTCGGCAGGTCTTCCTGAGTCCATTGGTGGCTTTCCCGACTCGCTAGCTCAATTTGATCGGGAGTTATTGAAGAAAAATGGTGACCCTTGTGACGTCACAAATGACGTCACGCAAGGGCAACAATGCAAATATAAAGCATAGAACCTTGCAAAGAGTGCATGAAATCATGATTTTGTATGCTTGAGATAGTTTCAGATCATTCTCGGCGCCAAAATAACAATTTTCATATTTCCCCATTGACTTATAAGGGTTTAACGTATTAGTTCCTTATAGCTGATGATTTTTTAGGATTTCATCTTGTTCTCCACTCAATTCTGCGTAAGATGCCGGGTTCCGTGTCCACATAGCTTGAGCGTAACGGGTGCAGCGACCGCAAACGTAAATCGAGGTCCCGAATTCCCTATTCCCCAACACAGGCGGCGGCCGCTTTCTGGTCTGCGCAACATGGCGGCACCGTTGGACACCATTTGGCGGCCGATGCGCATTCCACATTATAGAGTTCAGTGGACGAATCAAAAACCACAGTCCACAAATCAGTTTGCCGAACGGAACGACGCAAACTGATTTTTTTCATGTGCCAATGAAAAAAAATGTGGATACGAGAAAATGTGCTACGAATATTTGCGCTTACGAATTACGATGAAAATATGCGAGACGATTGTCGAAGAAATGCGTAACAATGAACAAAGAAATGCGCGAACTTTTGCGAACGAAGAAATGCGGACAAATAGTCGCGCGACCGGCGACGAATGAACGCCTACGAGGATTTGTCCTGGAATCTAGTGCAGGCGCTCATGGCCTTACGCTCATGGCTCATCTTTGACATCTAGGTTTCGCTACGACAAACAATTCGCATCTAACTTTCACTCGCATTCCCCATTCCCGTGGAGGGGTATTTGGCAGAGGTTAGGAGGAGGCGCGTAACAGCACGGTTCCGGCCGGGGGCACGGCCGCCACTAGCGCTGACCTCGGGACCAGTGGCGCCCGCACCGAGCGGCCCCGGGGGCGGACGTCCGCGCGATGGCCGGCCCTCACCGACACCAGCCCAGTGCGGAAACAACACCACTGCTGCGCCACAAGCTGGCAGCCGCTTCCGACATGGGTCCGGCCGGAAATGAGTCGCGCTGTGATGCTCACGGCAGATCAAGGTAGCTCGGTGGACGGTTTAAATGCACTCGCCCGCCGGGTGGGAGGACAGTGCAGATCCACACCGGGCCGAGCGGACGGGTGGTAGTCGCCGAGGACCCGCGATCTCCATCCAGTGATAGTGGGGCTGGTCTGGCCCAGCCAGTGACACCCATACAGGGACGCACTGAAGTGACTCCGCGGTCCGTCACTCAGCCACCTCGCACGATCAGTATGGCCAGAATCGTGGCGCTGATCTCGTTCATCGGAGCATCTCTCCACGGAGCGTCAGCAATGAACTGTGAGTTTAAGTCTCCGCCCGCTGGCCTGTGGCAACCTTTCATGAGAAATCAAACCCGTACCTACACTGGACTCAATTAAAAACGCCTTGTTGCCAGCGATTCGTGATAACCACTCATACGCCGCATATTCGAGCAATGCAAAATATTCTCTGAAGTCTGATATGGAAAAAGATTTGTGCTTTTGGTTAAAACGAATTTAAAATAGACCAATGTTTTCAACCACACAAAAGTCAAAATATTTCCTCGCCAATGGGTCAGAACAAGGACTGCGTCGAAACTAGCAAGAAACTCTTATTGCGAGCAGCATGCTCAACGCGGCAAGTCGCCGTGCCATGTGCAGCCCGATAGGTATCGTAAGCATATGGTAGTGTCGGCATCGGTATCGATAGCGGACCGGTGTGCCGTCACAATTTGTCATGCCGTGCGGTTCGAGCGCATGTCCTCCAACTGTCCTGTATAGCGTGGTGAGTAGTGACGTGACCTGCCCGACCCTGTAGACGCTCTCAGCCGGTGGCGCGGCCGTCCAGTTGTTCAGACGTTGTCCGTGTCTGTGCCGGCAGTGGCCGACGTGCCGTGCGGAGTGCGGCAGCTGTCCGGCCGCCAGGGCCGCGTCAAGGGCGGCCAGGAGGCGCACCGCGGCCAGTTC